ACTTATGAAGAAAATATGCGAAAAAAAATCGAATAGTTGCAAAAAGCACGTTTTTCGCTTATAAAATGAAAGATTGATTGTATAGAAAAAAATTCAGTATAAAAAATGTAGATATTTGAAATAACTACAATGAGACATACTCGTAGAACATAAAAATCGATCTATTAATTTAGTAGAAAAAAAAACACCGAAAAAGCCTTTTTTTCACTCATTTCTTCTGTTCATTGAGATTAAAACTTTGAATTTCTCGTAAAATATAACTCTCGTAATGACGAACAAATTTAGCCTTGAACAAGCCTGAAATGTTTATTAGTTTTTGCAAAAAGCTATTTAAGCTAAACTTAATTTTTTCACCTTTGAGCAGTCGCACAGCAATTTACAGGAGTGATTTTTCTTCTTCAAGAATTGCACTATCACGTACACTTACTAACAAAATGATTTTTTGCAGTTAAACTGTAAAACGCCTTTAAAAAGTGGATATCTTTTTTCGTGTAAAAAAAAATGGAAATAATTTCGATAATATGCATGATATCAAATAGCCGTGAAGCATTCGAAATCAGATATTTTTCTATGAATTTAAAAAAAAAGATTACGCTCCGATTATTAGGAGCCGAGAGAACAATTTTTTTTTCAAAAAATCACTGTGACTCTAGTTTTTAAGATTAAGAGTTTTGTCTGGCATCAATTTATCAAGGAAGAATTAAACTTGTTGTTAAAAAAATCTTGAATTGTAACTATCAAATTTTTAGTTTAGAAAATTTTTTGTTTCTTGAATTTATATTTTTTCGGTTTATTACTAAAAAAAATCACGTTTGAATATAGAACGCATGTCTGATTAACAAATTTAAGTCACATTAGCTGCTTCTTTATTTAATATGCTGTAAAAAGTGTCCAATTGGATAATTAAATGTACGAAATTATCAGTACAAAGTTGTTTTTGTAAATTTAATTGCAGATGCAAGTATGACATATGTAAACAAATAATAAATAATTTGCCAAATGTTAATGTAACTGTTAAATATAGTTGCAAAATATATTTTTCATGTAATACTAATTTACCTTTATATTTGCAAAAGTTACTGTTATATCTTTATGTTTTTTCGAAGCGGGCAGGCGATGCTTGTAATCCGAGAATTGATTCGTTTTGTTAGATGCATGCACATGTGACTCGCACTTGATACGACTTCGAATCCTTTCTTGCAGCTGTTAGAAAGAATTCGTATTGCGAGCAGCAACGAGACCGGCAAATCTCATCGAAAACTCAAGGAATCCTCGCATACTGAATGCCCTCGCGGTACGCGTATATCGGTAATGTTGCGGGACACAATACAGCATTGATACGCGACGAAACTTCGGTTTGGTTCACACTTAATATTCGAGATAAGATTCGTTAAGCACGAATCTCGGCTAATGATCCGCATTGATCGGGATCGGGAAGCGAACTGAACTTCGCATGCGGAACGTGTGCGTGATAGTCAACTTTTCGAGTGTCGCGCAAGGGGGGTCGCGTGCCATCTGAGATAGATAGCATGATTAAAACAGGAGTGAGATATACTCATATTTTGAACGAAATGTTGGCCGCAGGTGTGATTGAACGAGGACGGTTCGGTGTCTATGAACTGTTTACTTACCATCCCCGAGAATATATTTTTGAAATAACGATGATACTGGAACAGAATGTTAAATAAAGAAACATAGCTAATGTGATTTAAATTTGTTAATCAGACATACACTCCATACCCAAACGTGATTTTTTAGTAATAAACCGAAAAAATATAAATTCAAGAAACAAAAAATTAAAAATTTTATGGTTACAATTACTTTGCGAGACATTTGGTTAAGCTATTTGTTTATATCTCGTCGAGTTACCCCAGATTTAAAAAAAATCAGGTTTTCACATCAATTTATTGCTGAAAAAAATGTAAATTTAGCAAATTTTAACGCACGAAATCAAATACGCGCGAATTGCCGAGCGAACCGATTTTCCGCACTCGATTGTGCACCGGCTTCCTTTACTCCGCCCGGCGCACTGCTTTGCTCGCGTTCTTCAACTTTCCAATTGTTTTAAACAAACTTTTCCGACAGCAAAAAATTCGAGAATTTTTCAACAGTAAATTCAATTCTTCCTTGACAAATTGATGCTAGACGAAATTCTTAATCTTAAAAACTAGAGCCACAGTGATTTTTTGAAAAAAAAATTGTTATCTCGGCTCCTAATAATCGGAGCGTAATCTTTTTTTTTTAAATTTGTAGGAAAATATCAGATTTCAAATGCTCCACACGGCTATTTGATATAATACATATTAACGAAATTATTTCCATTTTTTTATACACGGAAAAAGATACTCACTTTTTAAAGTCATTTTATAATATTATAATTTAACTGCAAAAAAATTGTTTTGTTATTAAGTGTACGTGATAGTGCAACTCTTGAAGAAGAAAAATCAACCCTGTAAATTGCTGTGCGACTGCTCAAAGGTGAAGAAATTAAGTTTTTTGCAGACAAGTTTTTAGAGAACAAATAGCTTTTTGCAAAAACTAATGAACATTTTAGGCTAAATTTGTTCGTCATTACGAGGGCTATATTTTACGAGAATTTCAAAGCTTTATATTTAAATCTCGATGAACAGACAGCGAGTAAAAAAAAGGGCTTTTTCATCAAAAGGTGTTTTTTATTTATTTTTTTTCTACTAAACTATAATAGTAGATCGATTTTAATGTTCCACGTCGCATTTTGTAGTTATTTCAAATATCTACATTTTTTATACCGATTTTTTTTTCATATTTACAATCAATATCTTTCGTTTTATAAGCGAAAAAATGTGCTTTTTGCAACTATTCGATTTTTTCCCATATTTTTTTCACAAGTCTCGAGTCTCAAGCATACGCATTTCTTTTCTGATAGCCTTTCGAGACTTTCGTGAAAAGAAATGCTGGTTTATAATTTTTTTCCGGTAAAATTTTACTTCTATTGAACTATCTTGCTACTCGAGTTTATAAAGCGGAGGTATACTATAATATATAACGCGCATGAAAAATCGTAAACAATTAAATATCTCGTAAACTACTATTGCGTTTTAACATAATTTATACTATTCTGGATTAAGAGCAGAGGTACACTATTACTACAATTTATTAAAACTTATATGGTATTTAGGATACCCTTCTCCCCTTATTGATGTCTAGGGTCGCCGAGCGGCCGAGATTGCCGAGAAAGCATTTTCGGTCGTTTGAAACAAGCGACTAGTGTGAGCAGGAGCTCGCTGTCTCGTTCATTCTTTGCGCGCCACAGGCGAGCACACGAACATGGGCTCGTGCTTGTGTGTGTTACAGCGCCACACGATAAATGGCCGAATTTATGGGCGTGGAAAAGTGACGTTTTGACGACGAAATTTATGTTGCGTGCCATTTCATTATTATTTGCTTAATTGTGAAAATGTGACTTGTCTCATACTTATCAAAGTTGTAATTATCGATGAAAACTAAAGTTATCTTGGAATTTTATATGTAAAAGCTTATATTTTACTCGTTTCGACAGCTGTCGGACCGTATGTTTCTGCCCAAATCTACTCACTTTACATGCCTTTTATGACCATTTATTGACTGTCAAGGGAGGAAAGGACAGTTTTCATCGATTTTTACAAATGTTTCAAAGTGATCTCGTCATTTCGTTTCATCCAAAAAAATGGCACTAAATGTAAATTAACGTGTCATTCCTCGCTTCTAATGTCATGTTTCCAACATGGCCGCCGCGACTAGTCAGGAGCCTTAATTCGGAATGATTTTGGTATTTTCTGAACGATGCTAACAGACTTTTCATATATTCGTAGCGTATTGTTCGATAATCTTCTCGTTGTATCTGTCAAAATCAAAGCGTGTACATGTAATCTGTCCACAACGTCCAATACATCATTTATATCCTCTATTTTGACCAACTAACAAATTAATAGAATGACTAACCAGTTGATTGACAGACTGACTGATCATAGAGGCTATGCGGAAATTTATAGTAAAGATGTACGTGACAACATGATATCATTTTGAAAAAGAATCTTCAGTCCAAGTATAGTATCACATGCAAAAATACAATTCTTCGGTTAAAGATTCATACCTCAGCCAAAAGTATATGAAAAAACGTGGCGCTCAAAAAATTTCATGAAGAAATCTCAATATTTTATGTATTATTATTTTACATCTAGACTTACATCATCAACGCTTTATATCAGCGGCAAAGGTACAATGCCTCGAACAAAAGTATATTGTTTCAGTATATCAAAAAGTATATGAGAAGACATCGATTACATATTACTGCAAGTTTATGTGCTGTATGGGTATAAAAACTGTGTTGTTCAATAAAAACGGAATATTTTGAACACAATTTACATATATATATATGTGTGTGTGCGCGCACGCGCGTGTGTGTATGTATGTATAGTTTGTTTAAAGTATAAATATTAACACATTTGTAAAAATGATGCCCATATATTAAATTAACACTCAGAACTAACACTACAGATGTACTAAAAATTCTGTATAATTGCGCTATCATTAGACAAACCGATCCAAATATATGCGTTATTTACATTCGCTATACCAACCCGATCTATATAGAAACTATAAAAGCATATTTTTTTCAGAAAATTAACATTTACGATGTATTAAATTAAAATTTTATTCATTCGTCTTAGAAATTACATTTTAAAACAAATTATTTTTATATCATTTGTTCACTTATTTATAAATTGTGTCATTTTAATACTAAGAAACGTTGAATATCAATTTTCAGCAAAATCTTTAAATGACATAATCGCATTATGTTAAATTAACACTCGAATATTATAAAAAATTTAACACAACAACGTGAATGGATTGTTTCCAACACAAATACACAATTTTTTTACTGCATACAGAAGAAATCAATTTGGCGTGGAGACATCAAATTTATTAAAGCAACTGATCGTAGTATATCTGTGAAAAAAAAGTATTTGCATTTGTTGCAGATACTACATAGCTACATCGGAACGCGAGTCGGCAGTTCAGCATTTGTACAGAGTGTCATTGGATCCAGGATACAAGTCAACGTGTTTGACTTGTAACATTATCAGAGAGAGTGATGGCAGCCGCTGTTTGTACAACAGTGCTAAATTCTCCAATGACAATTCGCATTACGTGCTCACTTGTGCCGGGCCTGGAGTACCTGATATAGCTATCTACAATAAGGTACACATATTTGATACTTTTCTATTTTATAGCGCTTCTTGAAACTCGTAAACTATTTTAAAATTTGAGAAAGTGTTTTATTTAAATGTCCCAATTAAAAGAATTTAAAAAAAGTTTTACTAAAATGTAAAAATAAGATTTTTATATTATCAGTTATTCAATTGCAAATAAGTTATTACGAAAAGTTTGATGAGTTTAATTAATAAAAAAGATATAAATCTGGAGTTAGTAGCGATGAGTAATTACTATTCAAAACACAGAGAATAATGTACTGTTATTTTTCCATTAAATATAGATACGTGATAGATTTACGAGGTCTGTTCAAAAAGTATCGCGAATTTTGAATTTCCGCGGGTTACGTACATTCGATTTTCGATTTTTTTGTGGCGTTATGTTGGTACTCATGTCTCTCACTTATGCCGACAAGTTCAGCCATTTTGAATGTTCAATTAATTTTTGACAGCTGCTTTGCTTGCACGTGTTTTGGCTCGTCTTCGATTTTTGCCTATTCCAAAAAATGGATCAAAGAATCTGTATCAAATTTTGTGTGAAAAACAAAATTAAGTGCGCGGACGCATTCCGAATGTTGACTGTG